CTCCTCCGAAAGCTCCTGCCACCGCTTCAGCCCCACAACCGGCCACCTTGTTGACTGAGGTGGTGAAGCGGAGGGGGACCAAGAAATTGGAGCGCATGGCAACGACGGCTCCCAAAGAAGAGGTTAATGGTGGGCCCAAGCCCAAGCCGCCGCCACTGTCCCGAGGCCCGACTGCCGCTCAGCTTAGGGCTAAAGTTCCGAGAACGGAGGCGGTAGTGATTGGACCCCTCAAGGAGGGACAACAGTACGCCGCGATCATAAGGACCGCGATGGCTGCTGTTGACCTCAATGCCCTTGGGGTTCAATTGGCGGGCACCAGGCGGACCCGAACGGAAGCCGTCCTTTTGGAGGTCCGGGGATCGGGAGACCAGGCTGACAGCCTAGCTGACAGCTTGAAGGGTGCCCTGAAGGAGCATGACGTGCGCGTCCACCGTCCGATGATGACAGTGCCCGTCATGCTCCTGGACGTGGAGGAATGGACGGAGGAGGGCGACGTGCAGAGTGCACTTCTGGACGCCCTCGGCCGTCCAGAGGACAAGGTGCCGCCGGAAATCGGGCCCGTTGTGGTCCGAGAGAACTCCGGCGGCAAAGGGCGTTACGCCAGGGTGGAGGTGCCGGCAAGGCTGGCCCCACGCCTCGCAGGTCTCGCCCGTATCCGTATGGGGTGGGTCACCTGTAGACTGAGGATCCTTGGAGACAAAGGTCCGAGGTGCTACAGGTGCCTGGAGCACGGGCACGTGGCCAAGGCCTGCAAGGGCCCGGACAAATCCAAGGTGTGCTTCACCTGTAAAAAGGAGGGGCAACAGGCCAAGGTTTGTGCGGGTCCGGCCTTAAAGGTCCAGAAGGCAAAGGGGTGGTCTGCTAAAAAAGCCCCTCAAGAGAGGAAGAGGGGGGAAAAACCGAGGGGTCTCCCGGAGCGCAGCCCGCTAGTGGATGAGATTCCTTCAAGCGAATCTCAACCACTGTCGGGCCGCTCAGGACCTGATCCGACGGGCGGCGTACGAGATGGGCAGCGACGTGTGCATCGTCTCGGACCCGCACGCCAGATCGATCCGGGACTCTGCCGGATTGTTCTTAGACCGGTCCGGCAGAGCGGCGATCGGCGTGATGGACCGCGGCCTGTCGGTCGCGGACATCGAGTCAGGCGACGGCTACGTAGTGGCGAGGATAGACGGCATAGACGTCTTGAGCTGCTACGCGCCGCCCAGCTTGCCGATCGCTGGACTCCTCGAGTCCGTGTCCTCCTGCCTACGGGCGAGGAGGCTCGGGCGGCCGCGCGACGGCCGCGGGGAGCTCGTGGCCGGGGATTTCAACGCTCACTCCCCGGTCTGGGGGTCGGCGGACACGAATCAGCGTGGCGAAGAACTGTTGGACCTGATGTCGGCCCTCGGGCTGGTATCGGCCAACAGGGGATCCACCCCGACGTTCGAGGGTCACTCCTCGAGCTTGGTGGTGGACGTCACGCTGGTGTCTCCGTCGCTGCACCCGCACGTGACCGGCTGGTCGGTTCTCCCGTACAGGGAAAACCTCAGCGACCACCGGTACATCGTGTACGAGTGCGGCGATGGCGGCCGTCCCCCTCGAGCCGTGCCCCGCGTGCCGTCTCGCGGTGGGCGAGTGGGCTGGCGAGTCGGACCGGCCACGGACGTCGACGCTTTTGAGACGGGCTTACTGCTCGCTCAATGGTCGGCGCCCGCGGTACCGGACCGGCGCGTCTCCGCGAGCGAAGCGGCGGAAGAGTTGGACCGGAGGGTGGTCGCAGCTTGCGACTTCGCCCTCCCGGCCAAACGACCGCCGTCGACTCGCGGACCGCCAGTCCACTGGTGGAACGCCGAGGTGGCGGACAGGCGTGAGGAGTGCGTCAAGGTCAGGAGGACTATGACGCGCTCCAACCGTTGGCCGCGGGACCCGGAATCCCCGGACCCGAGGGAGGCGCTGAGGTCGGCCC